CAAAGATTAATGGGGTCAATATAATTTTTAAGAGTCCATATGTATAGCTAAAGGCTACATAACAAGAAACAATGCCAGACAGGTGATACCTTCCTTTGAGTTATTGGCCAAGGTGGCTCAAGAGACTCCCAGACAGAAACCCAGCATAGAACTGGGAAAATGAACAGCAGACCCTAATCTTATCTAAAGGAATATTGACAACTGATTGCTGCTAGATGAGGAACAGCTGATCTTCCTAAAACAAGGATCTCTAGCCAGGCTGACTAGATTCAGCAGACAGACAAGCACTGGAGAATGGCTGGGGGTGTTGACAACACAGAGGACAGTAACAGGGATTACAGAGTATATGGGCTCCAGTGGGGGGTGGGGAGGCTATGAGAGGGTGCCATTTGGGAAATGGGTATATAGATGACTAAGATTGTGTGGGATGTTCTGTATGACATACACACAGAAAAATCAACAAATTAAAAAAAAAAGACTTATATTTGAGGAGGAAGCATAAAATTTTACTTCATGTTAAATAGTAGAGATGATAAACATTACCACTGCAATCTACCTGATGACTTTATAGCCATACTCAGGTACTAAGGATGAGAAATAGAAATACTTTCCATGTGTAGGGCCCAGTCTGTTCCTGAGCTTTGTTACCCCCATAATATCTCTACCCTAATTCCCACCCCAACAATGCCTGAAAGAACAGTGTTAAGCTGGGGCCCAGACAGGTCAAGAGTCTCTCCAGGGGTCACCAGCAGCAAGCAATCAAGTGAAAACTGGGGTTCGGATCTGCCAGATGCCCAAGGTAGAGCCCAGCACAGATGGTCAAAGGCCAGAAACCCCAAAGGAGCAAGTCACTCACCCCTGAGCCACTATGGAGCTCAGAACCCTTCTACACAGTAGAAGGAGGAGGCCTGTCCTCCTACCCACCTCTACTCTGCATGGCCTGAGGGATGGCATGCAGGGCTGGATGGAGAGTCAGAGACCAGCCTGAGATCCTAGCTCCACTGCTCAGCGGCTCTCAGCACTCAGGACCCAGAGGCACCTGCCCCTCGGTCCCTTTTTCCCTCTCCAACAATACAGTATCTACCTCAGAGGGTGCTAAGGAAGATGAAGTGACACTGATGTAATCCATCAGCTTGACAGTGCTGTGTCAATGCTAACTGTTGGCTTCTGTGTCCACACTGGGGTTCCATCCTGAGGGGCCTCTAATAGCCCAGGGATGCCTAACATAAGCAGCAGCAGATGCCCTTGCAGAACAGATGTCAGAGCTACAACCCTGAGTGGTTGGTTTTGGTTTTGGTTTGTTTTTGTTTTTGTTTTTTTGTCTTTTTGAGACAGGGTCTTCCTGTAGCCCCCAGCTCCCCTGGAACTCACTATGTAGACCAACTCACTATGTAGACCAGGCTAGCCTTGAACTTAGAGATCCGCCTGCCTCCGCCTACCAAGTGCTGGGATTAAAGGCGTGCTCCACCACGCCTGGCTCAACAATGCTGTTTTAATGAAATACTTCTTTTAAGTATGTGGTTATTAAATAAATAACTAAAAATAAAAAAATAAAAAAGGGTCACAAAGAAATGTGTCAAAATGTGTGCATGGCAGCATGACAAATCATTTAAATTCCTGTAATTTCTAAATTTCTGTAATAAGCATATATATTATTTTTCCATTTGGTAATAAACATATATATTATTTTTCTAATCAGAAAAAAATTCTGTTCATTTAAAAAGAGTTGGGTTTGAGTCCCAGTTCTGTTCCAAGTTGTTGTGATGGGCCCCTCTCTGGGCCCCATCTGAAACGTCAGACTAACTGCACTACTTTGAGGACAGAGAAAGCAAGGTGACAGCAGTTAAACGGCCATGACAATTAAGGTCAGGGTGGCTCCTTCAAGCTGACTAGGGGTCTCTAACTCCAGCTTCTGTCTCGTATCTGTACAAGCTCAGAATCCAGCCAGCTCTAGTATAGGCAGTACCCAGAGGGGGCTGGCCCAGAGAGCTGGCCATGTTCCCAAAGAGAGTGCAATCACTCATCAAACACATCCAGAGCATGTGCTATACTGAACACCATTCTAAACAGAGAGTAAAGAGGAACAAACAAGGGTGAATTCCTTGCTCTTCTGGAGCGTCTGCTCTTAAGGGAAGAGCAGCAACATGAAGGAGCTTTTTAACTTTTTTAAAATTTATTTTGTTTATTTTCTTTTAAAAAAATTTTTTTATTATTTTTATGTTATGTGTATGAATGTATTGCCTGCATGTATGTAAGTGTACCCGTGTCGTCCAATGCCGCCGACCGAGGTCAGAAGAGGGCTTTAGAGTCCCCTAGAACTGGAGTCAAGGATGGTTTGTAGCTGCCATGTGGGTGCTTGGAATCGAACCCAGGTCCTCTGCAAGAGCAGTCAGTGCTCTTAACCACTGAGTCATCTCTCCAGCCCAAAATTATTTTTATTTTATGAGTGTTTTATCTACACATATATAAGTGCACCCGTGTTGTGCAATGCCCCTGGAGGTCAGAAGAGGGCGTCAGATCCCTCGAACTGGAGTTAAAGATGGTTATTAGCTGCCATGTGGGTGTTGGGAACTGAATCCAAGGCCTCTGCAAGAGCAGCCAGTGCTCTTAACTGCTAAGCCATCTCTCCAGCTCCATGAAGGAGCTTTTTAGAAAAGCCTCACAAATGAAGATGTGTACTGAAGAGAGCATCAGGCAGTAAGTGCTAGAGAGACTCTATAGCTAGGTATAATAGCAGACTAGACAGAGTTGAAGGGACTATTAGTGAAAGGGAAGAAACATCAGAAAAGGACAAGCAGAATAAAGTGTGGAGAGACACAGGATGGAAAATATAAGCAGAATAGACAGGAGGCATAAACTGTACCATGAGATGGTCTAATACATAAACGGAGGGCCAGACCAGGTCAGAAAAGAATACCTGGAAGTCTTATTTGAAGAATTAATGTCTGCAAATTTTCCAAAACTTATTTTTTTAAAAAGTTCCACTGATTCACTATATCCTCTGAGTCCATGTCCTTATAAAAACCAAAACAAACAAAAAACCAAACAAAAAAACCCAAGGCTGGGTGTGGCAGCACATGCATAGAATCCTAGCACTCAGAAGGTTGAAGCAGGGGTTTGCTGTGAGTTTCTGAGGCCAGTGTGGGCTTCATAGTAAGTTTCAGACCAGCCTGGTTTACAGTCTGAGACCCTGTTTTTAGAAAAAAAACAAGGCTGGCAAGATGGTTCAGCGGATAGGATACTTGCCACCACACCTGATGACCTGAGTTCAATTCCAAGGACCCACAGGGTGGAAAGATGAGTCTGCCTAAGATGGGGGGTCAAGTTTACCAAGATCACTGTGACCCCTGCAGGGGGCCTTTTCCAATAGACAGGCCTTGATTTCTCACACAAAGAAGGGAGGCATCCTCAGGGCAGGCACAAGTGTCCTCCACACAGCAGGCTTACCTCTTGGCCAGGTGTAGGCCTGCAGCTATAGGCACAGCTTGCCTGCCCTGTCTAGGGCCAATCCCATCCAGAATTAGCTCAGGCCTCTATACTCTGGATCAGGACTGGCGCTGCTGTTAAGGCTGGTGTCTAGGGCAGCCTCTAAGCTCTACTCTCAACCCAAGTGTCTACTGTGGGTGTCTTAGTTTCCTGTAGAACCAGGTTCTGAATTTTCCCAACTGGCCATGGCCAGCTGGCCTTGTTCTCTTGATGGTTGTGCTGGATAGCTTTAGTGTCAACTTGACACACCTGGGTTGAGGGAGCCTCAATTGGGGGATTACCTCTATTGGACCGGCCTGTGGCCATGTCTGTGGACATCTTCTTGATGAGTGATGTGGGAGGGCCCAGCCCACTGTGGGTGGTGCCATCCATGGGCAGGTGCGCCTGTGTTGCATAAGAAAGCAGGCTGAGCACAGGCTAGGGGAGCAAGCCAGTAAGCAGCGTTCCTCCATGGCCTGTGCTCCAGCTCCTGCTTCCAGGTTCCTGCCTTGAGTTCCTACCTTGGGTTCCCTGATGAACTATGACCTGGGAGATGTAAGCTGAATAAACTCTTTCCTCCCCAAGTTGGTAGTGGTCAGAGTGTTTTGTCACAGCAATGAAGAAACAAACTAGGAAAGTGGTAGACCCCTCACCCCCAGCTTGCCACTTCCTGAGGCTCCTCAATCAGACCCCAGCTGTTCTCTCAGAATCACTTCACAACTAAGCCATGGATCTGGTCAGAAGGATCTGTCACCTGCAGCATTAGCCCTCCTTGCTTCTGCAGGCTGGGAACAACCTTGGCTCCTGGGTCCTGGGAACAAACTCCTCCTCACTTTTCCAGAGAAGCTCTGGAGGCTTGGCCAGCCACCAGCAAGGGACTGCTTCCTGCATCCCCATAGTTACCTGAGCTCTACCCCTGCCAGAAGGCTGCTTCTTGTAGGGGGTTAGCAGGCCTGTGTACTTGGGGCTTCTCCCACCAGTTCCTTAAACACACAGACCACATGTGTCATCTCACAGGGAAAAATGGATTGGACCCAGACTCCTGAGTCACTCAGTGCTCAGTGTGTGTGAACAGGTAGATGATGGGACAGTCAGACACATGAACAAGCAGAAAGAGATATCAGTATGAACCCACCTTAACACCAGTCAGACCAGCTCCTCCTATACTTGGAGACTTGGTTATATAAAGTCTCCCCTTTCCTACTTTGCCCTGCCCTGTCATCCTGTCTAGCCCCAAGGAATCTCTTTGGAGCTAGGCTTTACATACCTGTTATCCAAATTCTGGTCCCTTTGAGAACAGTCATACCTCTGAAGACCCAGGGCTAAAGGTTACCCCAGCGGGCCCTTCACAACCGCCCCATCCTTCCTCCTACCCTCCAACTGCAGAGGTGAAGCCTCAGGAAATGACCCAGTTCTCCCGTCCACCAACAGAGCCTTCAGACAGAGCTCCAAAGAAGCCATGTCTACACAGTCCCTGAAGGCTGAGGGCTGAGAAGATGGAAGGAGAGGCACATGTCGCACTGACCATCACTCACCGGAAGCCACTCTGTGGGTTTCTAGGGTTGACCAGAATGCAGTCCCAGGTACGATTTGGAATATTCTGGAACAGGACCAGCTGCCCTTCCTCCCGAACATGTTCACTTGAGGCATAGTCAGCTACAGACACCTCCTTCACCCGGAATGGGTTTGAGAACAAGTTGGTGACGCTACTAAGGGTGTTGACCAAGCGGCCAAAGAACTGCATCCTCTGAGGGGCAGGTAGGGGATCCAGCCTGCCCCTTGCTCTGGAAGAAAATTGGGTGTCTGGTCAGTTGGGTACAGTCTCCCATGCCCACCTCACCAGCATCCTGTACAGGCACTCTGTCATCCCCACCAGCACTGTCCCTTGATTTTGAGCCAGCAGGAACCTGAAAGGGAGGAAAAGACAGCACTGAGTAACAGATGTCTGATGGAAGGTTCTAGAGAGGTCAGGCCAGGCCAGAGTGCCTAGGTATTTGTTCCCTGACCAGTGTCCCTGACAGAGGCTCGGTTTCCCCACTACTGTGAGGACTTGTACGGACAGTAGAGACAGTGAGTGTGAATACCCGTCTGCAGCTAGGCCCAAGTAAACAGCTTTTGACCACACAAGTTACAGGGATGGCGTTCCAGACATCACAGAGCTTGGCACAGGGCATTCCAAGTCCACAACCAAGCCAGGGGCCCCTCTCTATGACACACCATCAGGGAACCAGACCATATCTTACAGCTCTGCAGTAAGGGAGTAGGGAGCGTCTGACTCACTCCTTGGCGTCCTGCTGTCAACGGTTTCCCAGAGCTCTGAAAGAGGTCATAGAAACCTGCCCTTGGAAATTAAAGTGAACAGGGAGGCTCAGAAATGCCAAGTGTGTGTTTGTGGGTGGCTCGTGTGAGTGCAGATGTGTGTTCGAGTCTACATGTGCTGTGGGAACCAGGGTCAACTTCAGGTACCTTCCCTCAGGGGCCGTCTGTCTTGTTTGTGGAGACAGGGCCCCTCACTGACCTGGAACTCACCAAGTAGGCTAGACAGTGAGCCCCAGAGATCCTCCTGTCTGCCTCCCCAGCAGATTCCAAGACTGTATCACTAAGCTCATCTTTCTTTACGTGGGTGCTAGGGATGGAACTGAGGTCCTCACACTTGAGTGACTGAGCTTTCTCCTCAGCCCCAGGGGGAGGAATTTTTGCTACAGATGAAGTCAGAGTTTCTGCTATGGAAACTGTCTCCCAGTTTCGGTGACAGAATTAGATATTTTTTTTCATATGTGTGTGTGTGTGTGTGTCCGTCCATATGTGTGTGTGCTGGGGATGGAACCAAGGGTTCCACATGTGCCAGGCAAGCACTCTTGCAGTATGCTACACCCCCAGCCCGTGTAATGTGGCTTCTCCCACCAATCTGTATGTTACTTAAACATACAGGCCACTTACATCATCCCACAGGGCATCTGTTAGGCATCTGTTATTTCCTGGGTTCCCAGAAAGTTCACTGCCTTCTAAAGGCACTGCCACCATCCTAGTGATGGCCTCCCAGAGGCCACCCTATTCTTGAGTCAACACTATGGACAGCCTGAGGGAGGATGGCAACAGAGCAGACACCAGTTCTCAGACTTGTGTGGCCCTGGCCCAAAGTAGGAAAAGAGGACTGGTCTTGGCAATGGGAGAGAGACAAAAACAAGAGGCCTACAGAGTGAGCTAAACACAAAGCAGGTGGCTCCAGATGGCTGTGTTAAGAGCAATGGCTGCTCTTGCTGAGGACCTGGGTTCAGTTCTCAGCACATGGCGACTAACAACTGTCTGAAACTCCAGTTCCAGGGGATCTGATGCCCTTTTCTGACCTCCGTGGGCATTGCACACACAAATGCACTTACTTGCAGGCAGAACACTCATACACATAAAATTTAAAAACATAATAATACAAACTGCAGGGGTCAGTCATGATACCACCTCCAAGGTTTCACCTTCCGGTTTTAACAACTGTAGTCTAAAAACATTCATGAAGAATACTAGAAATAATTCATAAGTTGTAAAGTCTATACTATGAATAGCCTAGTGAAATCTCAAACCATCCTGCTGTCTCTCACCTGGGTGCATATATATTCATTTTCCCAGAGTATCCACACAGTATACACCATCTACCTGTCAGTCACCTACTAGCCTTCTTCATTATCAGATTGTCATGGTACTGCTGTATTTGTGTTCAAGTGATTCTCTGTCACTTAATAATAGCCTCAAGGGTTGAGCAATGTAGCCCTGTTGATACAATGCTTGCTTAGCATGCATGAAGCCCTGGGTTCATAATCACTAGCACTATACAAATTGGGAATGGTGGTGTATGTCTGTAATCCAAGCACTACTCCAGAGGTGGAGTTCAAGGTCATCCTTGGTTACATGGTGAGTTTGAGTTACAAGAGACCCTGTCTTTTTTTGTTTTTGTTTTTTATCTTTTTGAGACAGGGTCTCCCTGTAGCCCCAGCTGGCCTGGAATGCACTACATAGATTGGGCTGGCCTTGAACTCACAGAGATCCGCCTGCCTCTGCTGAGAGTGCTGGGATTAAAAGCATAAGTCACCATAACTGGCAAGAAACCCTGTCTTTTTTTAAAAAAATATTTTATTTATTTTATGTGTATGTGTGTATTGCCTACATGTAGGTAAGTGCACCCAAGTCATGCAATGCCCACCGAAGTCAGAAGAGGGCCTTGGATCCCCTGGAACTGGAGTTATGAATAGTTGTTAGCTACCATGTGAGTGCTGGGATTCGAACCCAGGTCCTCTGCAAGAGCAGTCAATGCTCTTAACCACTGAGCCATCTCTCCAGCCTCAAGAAACCCTGTCTTAAACACAAATACCTCAAGGCTGAAAAACAGCAAGGCTTGACAACTTGGACATGCCCAAGAGAAGTCATAAAAAGCTCAATGTAGCCTGTGGTCCTGTGCTCAGTCCCAGGCATCCAATGGGGGTCTTGCAGCATATCCCTGTGGCTAGAGACTACAATTACAGCAGAACACGTTTGCTAACCACCTACTTTGGGTGAGCCCTGAGCTGAGCACTTTCTGTGATTGCTTCATTTTAACTCTCACAAAACTATATAAAGCCAGTGTGTTGGGTTCAGAGTAGATCTCAGCCACAGCAGGTAAAGTCCAGTCTCACTGCCTACCAGCTGTGTGACCACAGTGCCTAACAGTAGCACCTGGCAGGCAGTACAACTCAATAAATGTTGCCTATCTTTATTTGATCCCCCCCTTTTACAGATAAGGAAACTGAGGCTCAGAATACACAACTGCAGAGCTCTGACAACATTCTGGAGCTTGGAACGACCTTCCTTCTATGGTCAGTAGTAAGTTGTGAGAAGAATGAGAGCCTCGGTCTCCTTCAACACAGGGACAGTCACATAGGAAGTAGGGAGACATGAATCAAAGGTCACAAAACAGTGTGGAGGATGAACAGGTCTGGAGATCTCATATGCAACCTGAGGGCTATACTGTGTCAGGGTTTTTAAATTTGTACTCCTTTGTAGTGCTGGGAATTGAATCCATGGCCTCCTGCACACAGGGCAAGAACTCTGCCAACTGAGCTACATCCACAGCCCTGTAGTCCGGGTTTTTTGCTTAAAAAAAGAAAAAGAAAAAAAAAGTAAAGTTTAGAGGCTCTTGCCACACACATTAAAAAAGGGGTTATGGTCTGGTGAGATGGTTCAGTGGGGAAAGTGCTTGCTGCCAAGCCTGATGGCCTGAGTTCAAACCTGGAACCCAAATAGTGGATGAAGAGGATTGTCTCTGTAAGTGGGCCACAGCACATGCGCACCCACACACAGTAAGTAAATAAATAAATAAACATAAGGGCTGGAGAGATGGCTCAGTGGCTAACAGTACTTACTGCTAGGTCCCAGCACCTAGCAGTAGCTAACAACCATTCATAACTCCAGTTCCAGGGGATCTGATGTCTTCTTCTGGCGTCCATGGGCACTGCATGCACATGGTATGCTTACATACACGCACTTAAAATAAAACTAATAGGGGCTGGAGAGATGGCTCAGCGGTTAAGAGCACTGACTGCTCCTACAGAGGACCCGGGTTCGATTCCCACCACCCACATGGTGGCTACAAACCGTCCTTAACTCCAGTTCCAGGGGAATCCAAAGCCCTCTTCTGACCTCCACAGCATTGCACGACATGGGTGCACTCACATACATGCAGGCAATATACTCATAAAAATAATAATAAAATGTTTTTAAAAATAATAAATAGCCAGGTGTGGTAGCACATACCTTTAATCCCAGCAAGTGGAAGGCAGAGGCAGGTAGATTTCTGTGCAATCAAAGCCAGCCTGGTCTACAAGGTAAGTTCTAGGCTAGCTGAGATGACTGGGAGATCCTGTCTCAAAACAACACAAAATAATAATAAATAAATGTAAAGAAGGGGGTGTTACTATGTGAGATGATGGGCATGTTAATTTGCTTGGCATTTTTACTCTGCATGTCGAATATCATGTTTACATAATAAAGAAAGCAACAACAAAAATAAATAAATTAATTAATTAATTAATAAAATAAAATGAAGGGGCTGGAGAGATGTCTCAGTGGTTAAGAACACTGGCTGCTCTTTCAGAACATGGGCTCGGTTCCCAGCACCTACATGATGCTAACAACCATCCCTAACTCCAGTTCTAGGGGATCGTTCTAGGGGATCCAACATCCTCTTCTGGCCTCTGTGGGCACTGCATGCAAAGATGTACTTACATGCAGGCAAAACACTCATTCACATAAAAATAAATTTTAAAAAAGAGTTTTTAAAAACATTAAAATAGCCAGGTGTGGTGATGCACGCCTTTAATCCCAACACTTGGGAGGCAGAGGCAGGCAGATCTCTGTGAGTTCGAGGCCAGCCTGGTCTACAGAGTGAGTTCCAGGCAGCTGGAGCTACAGGGAGAACCTGTCTCAAAAAGACAAAAATAAATAAATAAATAAAAAACATTAAAATAAAATGGAACACCCAGGTATGCTGCAGTCCCAACCACTGCCAACCCTGACCAGTTCAAAGCACATAGCAGTCCAGAAAGTGATGCTGGTGAACACTCTCACACCTGCCCATGGTACTACAATTATCTGGACCACAGCATCCTCTCCTCTGAGTGCAAAGGTCCTGGGCATTCAAGTCCAAGCTCAGCTCTCACATCCTCCTTCAAATGGTCTGCAGGCTCCAGCTGTCAGGTTCTCCCTCTTTGCTCTGTGCTTTAAACGCATCTCTAGGCTGGGGAATGTCTCAGTG